ATATATAATATTTTCTTGCAACTTTTTTATAATATATTATTTGTATATAATTATTAAATGTATGAAATATCCAGACCCCTCTAACGTTAATAAAGCCCTTTAATTATATGGGACTCGAGAACTACCAAATACCATATTTTAGTGTGAGGATAATAATAGCTTGCTTTTTATGGTATGGTTCTCTCCTCCATGTTTATATCATTGGTTCCGTATATGATATACAAGAAATAAGATTTGACTGTTAGTTGTTTTTCATTTCTGTGAGAGCTTGTCTTCTTTTAATTTGTACAGAACGTGTAACATTTTTTACCCTTGATCCTGGATGGATGAACTTTTTTGTGTGTGAACAATAATGCGTAAATTTTCTCCATTATGAGAACTAGATTGATTAGATGAATATGTGAACTTTTTCTTAATATTATATTCAGAAATATTATTCTTATTAACATGTTTAATTATATTTAGCAATTTCAGATAAATAAATAAATTTTATTTAATTAAAAATGAAAGAAGAAACATAAAAAAATGAAGTGAAGATAAATTACTTAATATGAAAAAATAACATATTTTCATGAAAATACGAATACTCGTCTTATTATAAAAAAAGGTAATATATATATATATATATATAAATATTTTATATTCTTGAAAATCAATCTTTTAAAATAATATTTATTCAAAACTTATACTAAAATGAAAATTCCACATTCTCAAATTCACTGTTCCAAAAATCTTTTTGGATTCCTTTGAAACAAACACCGCCATATGTAAACCGCTTCGTGCCAAAATCGGTGCAAGGCTGTAAGCAATGGCATTTATCTGTTCCTTTCCCTAGTTAGCTAGTAGTGCATGGATACTGATTTTTTATTTTTTATTTTTTATTTTTTATTTTTTATTTTTTTATTTTTAAGTTAGGTGTTTGATTCGGTTCCTATTTTTCTCAATCCGCCAAGAAAAAAATCCAACGAAAAGAATGAAACGGTGGTTGAATGAGAATCTCTCGTGGCATACGTCGCGATTAAATTTAGTTAACCATCACTAAATTGATCATTTCCAAATTTTAAAACTTCACCTGTATATAGAATATTAGACGACAAATTTTGGTTAAAAAGCATAAAACCACCCAACGCACCTCACCGTACCAAGATAGTAATAAATTATTGAATTATATGAGAATAATATAGATAAAATATAAAATACTTTAAGAAACAAGAAGGTTTGATGTTTATCATAAAAATTTATTGAAGAGAATTAGTTTCGCACTAGTTATTAAAAAGTGAAGTACAGTCATTTTGGTTCGACACAAGATAATGTTTAGAAAAACTTGACCAAAGTCTCAGTATATTTTTTATAGAGTTAATCATCTATATATTATTAGTATAAAATTTTTTATATTAATAATTAATTAGATCTTTTAATTATGTCATGTAAACATATTTACTTTAACAGTAATATGATACAATTAAAAAATTTAATTGATTGTCAATATAAATTTTTTTTACACTGATGATGTATAAGTGATTAACTCTTTTCTATAAACTGTAAAAGTTTTTTAATCATTGGTATAAAGAGTACTTTTCCTTGTTAATTGGGTCTAAAGAAAGAGACCATTTCCTTACAATACAAGAATGACAAATCACGATTCAAGCATCAAGGGAAACCCTTTAGTCTTCTTAAGAAGGATACTTGCATGTAAAAATCTAAAAGAACAAAAAGAAAGATTAGTTTTCCTTTGACGGTTAGATCACGGATTAATCACAGCTTCCGTATCATATAAGCATAAATATATTTTATAGAATGTTTACATTTAATGAGTTGTGAAATTCTCTAGAATGGACAAAGATTGTGAGTGTGTTTGGTAGTAGGTAAGTAAAGAATAAGAGAAGGAAAGACGGGGAAAAAGCATAGAAAAGTTGAAAAATTGGTGATTTTTTGGTAAAAGGGAAGCCTTTAAAATTATGTATAAATATAGGCGGGATACACGTATTAAATATTCCCCACTCAAATGAGGGGAGTGTGAAAAAAAAATGAAGAATGTGAAGATTTCAGTTGTTAGCTTGAAATATATATGTGTATATATATAATAAAAATGATTATTTTTTTATAATAATTAGTTATTATTTTTTAATTTACTTAAAAATTAACTTCTTAATTTTTCTTTTTTTTAAACAGCTTATATTTCAATTATATTTCTTATCTGTTTTTCTTTTATTAAATAATTAACTTTCACCTTCATTCTATTTCATACTCTTTTTTTCTTTACTAATCACAAGGTATAGAAAGACAATTTTAACTAATAAAAAATAATCGAATTGATTAGGATTGAACTCATCACAAAAATATAGATGTAAATTTGATTGGCTATATGATAACTTCGTAGGTAAGTAATTCATACTTATTTTTATAAGTATCTTTTAAATCTTAATTTCATGATATTACTCACCTTAAATGAAATGTTAAATGTCTCTTTTATTTTCTTAATTGATTCAATCTGATTTCGTATTATTAAAAAATAAAATATTATTTTAATTTTTGAAAATGATAGATTATTATTTTTTTCATTCCAATTTCGATTAACGACACTATTATATATAGATATAATTTTTTATTAGAAAAAATCACGAGTTGAAATTAGTTACTAACAAAATTAATAATTTAAATTAATAGCATAGTTTAAAATTTAAGAGATTAAATGATTTTTTATTTATAATAAAGAGATAAAATTAAATGAACTAAATAAAAGATAAAAGAATAATTTAGTAAAAATAATGGCAAAGCCAAAGGAAAGGTCGTTTACTTTAGTTGTATGTTGTCTTGTGCCGAGGAATCTACACGCACGCGCCATCCCCCGCAATTTTCTAGACACATGCCCCGACATCAAACCACACATCATGTGATGTTCTCTCACCCGCATGTGCGAAACTCACCCCTCTACTACTACATTCCTCAATTTTTTTACTACCATTTTCTTTTCTCGTTATTATTACCACCCCCACGGATATACACAAAATTTCCATTTCAAACTAGAAATTTCGTGCACTTTTTAATCACAGAAACCGTTGTTCATTGATCGTAGCTCGCTGACATGCACACAAATCCGAATTTTGGAATGAATTGCAACATTAGAGGTGGCAGATACGTTTACTCCTTTGCGATGGAGATCGTGCGCGTAGGGCAACGTAAACAAGTGGCATGTGTTAAATAAGGTAGCGACAAAACCAAAATGCGCATCCTTTCGAAGACAGCCACGCCTGTATTCAAGTAAAAGAGATAATAAACGTCACCGTTATTACGCTGTTTTCAATGTCATGTGTTATGACGATGCATCATGTACATATGGTGCACAACGCATTATCATTATTTTATCATTATATTTGCTTTATCGAATTTACATTTTTACTGCTATAAATAATGATCTAAGAAGTTGGAGATTT